AAAAATATTTACCTCTAAAAAAAATAGCTTATAAAAAAATTTTCCTCTAAAGAATAAAAAGTAAAAAATAAATATAAAATCAATAATAACGGTCAAGTATTTAAAAATAATTCATTCGGTTTGTGAGGATTTGTAATTTGAAATAGTATTTGTCATAAAATCAATCTTGCATTTTATTAAAAATATTATAGATTCTCTTGAGAAAATTAAAATGCATCTTATTTTTATTAAAAAATTACACTATTATGTTCCAAATAAATATTTTGTATAATATATAAAATAGCACTGTTATATTGCGGATATTATTACAAATAGTAAATCATAAAATTACTTAACTCTTACTGCAATAATATCGATCACATCGATCATCAATTTCGAATTTAAAAATGCCCCGTGCCAAATTGATCGACTTGTTTTGAAATTAATCATAAGCTTTACTAGAGGCCCGGAACGAAAAAGGTTAAGATTAAAATGACATACAAAAACTTGGCGTGCCCGGATCGCACCATAAGTCATACATTTTTATTAATATATTGATAATGATTTCTGATAATCTTTTGGAAATTTTATTTCAGATCGGGCACGCTAAGTTTTGGGAGCAAAGCCTCTCCCTCGCCTACGCGTAAAAGTCATAATTTCTTGTATTTTTATAATTTAACAGCACAGGGCAATATGGGATGGACCTTGCTTCGCGCAGAAAGTTGCAAACTCATTGTGAAATCGTGTAATTATAAACCTCGTTTCGCATCTGAAGCACCGGGCGATATGAGCAGTACCTCGCTTACCAAATGTATATGGTATCGGAAAATTACGTGTTATTCAGTGAACCTTTTTTGTTAAATATCTCAAAAACTATACGAGAACGCCAAATAAAATAAAGTGAATATTAATAAACAACCTCATTCTTACAACATATGTGAAGGTCAAGGTCATCAAGGGGGGCGAGATATCTGCTAATATAAATAATTAGCAAGTATAACAGAATCAATGTTATTATATGTATGTATCGTTAAATTTAAAAAAAATATAGATTGAGCATTTAGATTTTTTACCTGAATGTCACATAAATGTCGTCTTCTTTATTTGGGAACCCATTGTAGAACTCGACAAATGCTTTGAGAGATGTTGGTTTGCGCAAAGTGCTATCTAAAAATTTAACAATTATACAAATAGGCATAATTATATACAAAAACATTAAATTAATTATTTCAGTAATCCAGAAAAAAAATTTAAAATAAAAATAAAAACAAGGAAAAATAGAGATAAATTATATACGGAAATTAGCACAGCAAGTGTTGACTTTGGAAATAATAAAATATTATAAAAAAGTTTAAATGTTTTAAGACTTAAAGAAGTAATTGTTAATCCATAATAAAATCAAACAATAAAGCATTAAGCGTTTTTCGGAAATATTTTATTGATTAAGAAATCAGAAGTAAAATATTTGCAACTGTTTAAAAAAAATAAACTAAATAATAGCATAATTAAATAATATAATTGAATGCTTTATATTAAATCTGGATTAATTTTACATACAATATGTAGATTTTTCTTTCTCTTTTTGCGGCAAAATGAAATTTATATTACAATACAACAATAAAATTAAAAATTATACAAGATTTAAATGATAAATATTAATTAATAGAAAAGGAAAGGCCAATTGGAACCTGGACGCGTTACTTAGAGCGTAACAATTGTATACTGTTTTAATAAACGATGTTAATACATATATAGTATAAAATTATGAATCAAAGTTTCGGCCAATTTCGGGTCTTTATCAATGAATTTTGATTCCATGCATTCATTGATAAGGACTCGAAGTGGGCCCAAACGTTTGATTCATAATTTTACAATATTTGTGCATTAACATTGTTTATTAAAACAGTATACAATTATTACGCTCTAAGTACCGTGTTCAGACTCCAATCGGCCTTTCCTTTTCCACTAATTGAAATTTATATTCTTCTCGTTGTCAAAAAATATTTTTTTTAGATTCTATTTTTATTCTTTCTTAAATGTAAATTTACAATCATTTTTGACGTAGATCTTTTTGTAACGTGGTTTATGGTTTATGCATTTCTTTACAACTTACCAATAGATTCTGGAATCTCAGACATATTTGTAAATGGAATCTCATCAATATTATTTCTCACGCTCACATTATCAGGATAACTCCGGTCAGATGTGAGATTCTGTAAAATGTGATAATCGTTGTTCTCTATAATAGTGGAATATCCTTGATAAAGTATAACATACGAAAAGAATTAAGTAAGCACCGCTGGACCACAAACGCGGCAATTTCCGGTACTTTTAATGATAAATAATATATGTACAAATAAGTAAAATTGCCATGAAATTTCTTGTTTGTTCAATCATAGCGGCTTGATATTTTTCTTATACCTCTCCTAATTGATAATATGTTAAATACAGTATAGTTACATTTTTACAAAATCTGTTTTTATTGTTTTTCAAGACATCTTCTTGTATGTCAAACATGATTCTTATATCAAAGAGAAAGAATTATCACACAAATTGACATAGCTGCATATGCATAGCATAATATAGTCTGGATCAATAAGCATGTTATATAAATTAATATAATGATCATTGATTCAGACGATCTTATGCTATTGTTGCGTTCGTCGCTCTCTCACTTTCTCACACTCGCGCACACGCAATAAAAGGACACTTCCGTAAAAAGGAGAACAACTTTATACACAGAAATATTATATACAACAAGAGTACAGCATTCATTAATATTCGTAACCGAATATGACACGCGTCTTTCCAGACCGAAGGCCCCCGGAAAACCACAACCCAACTTCGTTTAACAAAACCCCCTCGTTGTTAGGGAGAACGCCTTGCAGCTAATGTCTCGCCAAGCATCCAGCGCGAACATAACACCGAGCGTCCAGCGCGAACGTAACACTGCCCTCCTTCTTCAAGATTGTCGTCCCCACAATCCGTGATCGACGAGTCTATGTTGAATGGGTTGACTGCAGTCCACTTCTTCCAAAGCGAAGACTCCAGGGTGTCACAATGACTCCTTACTCTACCCTGAGCTGCTGCTGCAGGTTACCG